TTGGGCTTTGCTTCCTCTCTGTGCCATGAGGGTGGGTGGGGAGGGATCCCGCCCAGCACCGGCCTTTCCCCAGGCCCCAGACAGGAATCAGTTCTCCCCTGCGAGGCAGGCAGGCTGGGCCACATCTTGCCCATGGGGACTGGGTCCCTGCCCGGTAGGAAGAAACAGGAGGAGGCAGCTCAGATTCCAAACATTCTCTTTATTACGTGTTTGATCCAGAGGAGAAACTAAGTGCAGGAAGGGGGGCTGGGTGGGGAGGGGCCACCTTGCTTGGGAGGCCCCCCCCAGCCCCCAGCCCCCACCCCCTTTGGGAGCCAAGCCTTGCCCTCCCGGCCCCTCGGAGCACCCGGGCTGTTCCATAGGGCAGGAGGCGGGAGGGAAGAAGGGAGGGGGAGCCCTTGGTGGGAGCTGGAGCCCGCATTCAGGGCTTGGGGCAGGAGGGCTGAGGTTGGCGAGGCCCCTTCCTGGGAACCAAGGGCTCGACTTGCCACGGAGCCAGGCCTGGGAGTGGGGTGATGAGTAGGAGTGGAGTCATCATAAATCAAAAAAAAAAAAACAATAAAATAATAAAATAAAAAATAAAACCCATCACAAGAAATGTACAACTCAGGTGAGGGTAGAGGCAGCCTCTGTTCAGGACCCCCTCCCCCAATTTCTCAAGAACAGAAACAGCAGAGAAATAAATTAAGGGATGCAGCGGCTGCCACCAGCCAAGCGCCCATAACCAGCCACTCCCACGCCGGCTGCAGAGGTTAGCCAGCTGGGAGTCACTTGGCCTATCTGTCCCCCCCCCACCCTGTGGAGGGCAGAGGCTCCCGGCCCTGCTGCCCTGTCCAGCCTCCCACCAGGCGGCCGGCCACGGGGGCCCTCGGGCAGTGTCTCCTGAGAGGAGGGGCGACAGTGTGAGGAAGAAAAGGCAAGGCCGAGAGATGAGTGGTGAGGGAAGTCACTGCTATGGAACTAGCTGGTGCCCAGATTAATGCCAATGACGGGGAGCAGTGGGGAGAGGGACGGCGAGGGGGGCTGTGCTTTCAGACAAAGGCTCTCCCAGAACGGAGAATGCCCAGCGTCCCTGTTCCGGAGACTAGCAGCCCAGGCGGCCCCCTGGGGGCCGAGGAGCCCATCTGCCCTGCGGTCCCCTCCCCTCTCCCAGCCCTGGGGTCAGCCCCGCCTTCTACCCAGGAGGGGGTGGGAGAAGATGGCACAGACTTTTTGAGGAGGGGAACAAAAGTCCCCACAGCAGCTTGTGGAAGGAAATGCCCAGCCTCTGGGGAAGGAGGGGCAGAGGATACAGTGTGGAGGGAGGCCGAGCCCCGCGCCTAGCCTGCCAGCCCCAGAGCAGCCGCCAGTCCCACCGCTTCAGGGCTGTGCAGCACCCCTGCCCCCAGCCCCCAGCCGCCCAGGCCTCCAGCCCAGGGGCCTGAGGTCAGGGGAAGGCCACCTCTGGTGGTTTGCTTGGAGGGGAAGGAGAGGAGAGGGGAGAAGCCCAAAGTGGGCCTGGCGGAGGGCCTGACAGGGAACTCCACCACTCTTGCCTGAGAGTGTTCCAGCCCTGAGCCACCCTCCCGGGAAACCCCACAGATCCAGTCTCGACTGTCCCAATGGGGCAGGGAGGAAAGGTGGCCGCTGGGTTTTTTTTTTTTTTTCTTTTTTCTTTTTGGTAATAAAAAATTTCTTGGTTTAGGCGAAATACTCTGTGCAACCGCAGTACCGAGGGGGAGCCCTGCCCCCCACCCCTCCCTCCCCTTCCTTTGCCTCCTGTGGGAGAGAGGGGGGAAAGGGGAATATCTGGGCAGGGGTAAATGTGGGGGGGAGAGAACCATCTCCCAAGCCCCACAAACATGGAAGAAAAAACTGAGAAGGGCGGGGAGGGGAGAAGTGCCAGCAGGGGAGACACACCAATCCATCTCTGCAGTCTCGCCCGGGCAGGCGGAGCGCCGGCCCCAGCAGCTAAGTCCAGCTGGCCGCCTCCGTCGCCCCCCACTCCTGGCAGCCTGTTAAAGCTTAAGCTCGTTGGCTATTTTGGAGGCAATGTTTTTGAAGGCCATGGAGGTGCCCGATATCCGCTTAAATCGAACGCCGTTGAGAGACAGCCGCGGCAGTTTGCACACCTCCATCTCCCACTGCACGAAGTTCTCGTGGCCTGGCGCGCCGTGCACGCACAGCAGCATGTATTTCTCGTGCAGCTCGCTCTGGCAGCTGTTTGCGTCCAGCACCTTGCGGATCTCCCGCATCATCTCGTTGGGCTCCATGGAGCTCGTGGTCTTCATGCTCCACGTGAAGCGTAGCGAGCGGGGCTTGGCCTCCCGAAACTCCTCCTTTTCCTTGTCACTGCCGCCGCTGCCCACCACGTGAGGCCTGCGGAGAGGGCAGAGGCGGGCGTCAGGCGCCCCACCCACAGGACAGCCCCCCTGGCAGATGGACCCCGAGACCAGAGAGGAGAGCGGGAGGGTGCCCGGGACGCGGCAGTGCAGTGCTGGAAGAGGGAGCGTTAGACCTGGCCCAGGGAGCAGAGGGAGGGCGAGAGGGGTGGGCGGTCTCGTCTCTCAGGGCAGAGAAGGCGAGAAGCCAGCCCCTGGCAGGGGGTGACAAGGTGACAGCGCCATGCTTTCCTGGGAAGAGGGCAGGGTCAGGGAAGAAAGGGGAGCACGCGCTCAGTAGCCCTGAGCAGTTCACAGACTGGACAAAAAGAAGGGACTGATTCACAGCAAAGCGAGCTTGTCGAGGGGTAGGAGTCTAGAGTCCCAACCGCCCGGCCCAGGCAGGGCTCTTGCTTCCAGAACACACCAGACCTGAGGAGAAGGGCCCATACCCATTGCAGCGGGGTTGTGGGGTCCTCTGAGGAAAGGGAGGCCCCAAGAGGGGGAGGACAGGGCGCAAGCATGGGAAGAAGAGCCGGGTGGCAGAAGGAATAGGAGTGGGAGGCTCGTGGCGGGGCCGGCGGCCCGGGCAGGGCGGGCGCTGGCTCCGGCCCCCTCTCACCTGAGCGTCTCCACTCGGTCTTTGCTTTCAGGTTCGTTCAGGTTCCTCAAAAAACAGAGCGAGGGAGAGTTTAGTGCTGGGACCTCTGTGAGGGCGGGTCCGGGGGAGGTGCCGCCGGTGGGTGGGCGGGACCCAAGCCCAAAGGCCACTCGCCCATCACCTAGCAGGCCAACATGGCACCTCACACTGGCAGCTCAACTGTCCTCCTCCAACAGGGAGCCCAGCACGCGGGGCCTGCCCCTCCCCACACTCTCAAAGACGGGTGCCGGGAGGAGCCGGAGGAGGGGGAGGGTGTGGACGTGCGGGCACACGCATGGTGCACACAGCCCACAGCCAGGGCTCGTGCGGAGGGCGGCTTCTGCACTAGCGCCCCCTGAGCGGGTCTCAGAACTGTAGTCCTCTTGGAGGGAAGGGCCGGGGGGGGGATAAATAGAGGTCTCTCTCAGGAGGCTCAAACGGGCCGGACCTGCTTTGAGTACACCTGGGGCTCAGTGCCTGGGACTGGGTGGGGAGGAGATGGGCCCTGAGGCCGGCTGTAGACAAGCCCACCTGCCCCATTCTTTTATAACTCCCCTGCCTGCCAGGCCATCTGCTGATACAGAAGGGAGGACAGAGGGCAGAGCAGGGCCGACACCTTGGGAGGGTGGGTGGGGAAGAGGTCTGGCCCCGCTGAGCGGCTTCTCCAGCTCCTGGCTGGAAGATGGGTGCCTGGAGCTGGGAAATTGGGGAGTGCAGAGGAGGGCAAGGATGTAAGGAGGAGTGAGAGAGAGCAGCAGCAGCACATGTAAAAGGAACACAAAGACACAACAGACACATGAACGCAAACAAGTGCACTGCGAGCAGGGAGCCTGGGCCGTGCAGGGGAAGGAGCCTGGCTGCTCTCTCCGGCCCCACCTGGCTCCTGCCCTGTGGGTGGAGGTACCCTGCAGGGCAGGCCCCCACTGGGGCCCCATGAGTCAACAGCCAGCCATGCAGTGAAGAGCTGGGTGGCGAGCAGCGGGTGGAAGGGGGAAAGCCTGAACACCCTGTCTTGGCCGTCGTTCTGTCAGCTGGGGCACCAAAGGGGCTGGGCTGACGGCCTTGGGGAACCAGGGCTCCCAACCTGGCCCTTGGTCCTCAGCTTGGTATTTGGCCCACCCAGGCCACCAGAGGATGAAGACAGGGCCAGGGGTGGCAGAGCCAGGAGATGGCCCAGGAAGGGAGACGCCTGAGGGAGGGGGGATCTCCCACTGTTTTGCCAGGGCTTAGGGGTGGACGGCCCCTGCCCTAGAATGTCCCAGCTTCTGGCTCTTCGGAAGTCACAGGCCATAACTGGAGAACACAGCCCAGAGAGGACGCGGCTTGATTCATCCAGAAACGGCTGGAGGTAGGAGGTATGCTGGGGTGGGGGTGGGGTGGGCCTAGTGCTGCAGGAGCTGCCAGAAGGGGGTGCTGTGCCCTGCTCGTGAGGCAAAGGCTCCTTGGGCCTGGAGGCGTCAGGCTGAAGTCTTGAGACCCCAGTGTCCCTGTAGTACCTCCAAAGTCCTGCCGTTCCATAGGACAGGGGCAAAAGGCCACACAGCCCTGAAGTTCAGGGCACCAGGGAAGGGGAAGCCCAGGAGACCCAGAATGAGATACCATCCCAGATGCACTTCTGACCCCGGTGGAGCTTCCTCAGAGCGCATGCACAGACACGGGAAAGGGCTGGAAAAGGAACCCAACGCGCTTGTGACCAAAACCCAGGGTAGGGGATTGGGGGGAAGGAGACAATCTTAAAGGGAGAATTCCCTGAGAAGGTCCCCCTTGCTTGGGGACAGGCCCATCGTTTTCAGAGTCATTTGCCCTGAGTGGGCAAATGTGGCCTTGTGGGCCACCCAGGCAGAGGCCGTCTTCATCCCTTTAAGATGGCAGAGAGAGGACCCCACAGACATGGTTTAGCAGATGCAGGAGGGAGCAAGAGCCAGAAAAGGGGAGTTAGTGATGGAGGCAGGACACAGGACACAGACGCACACACAGCG